CTCAAGAGGAGATATCCCTACCGTGGATTAGTCGATATTGGGATACTTATTCTCCCAATATCGGATACCACGTAAAAGTGTGTGTGTATTGTTCGTTTACTGCTTGCTGTGCTTTTTGTTGCTGCTCTGTTTTGATTTTGGTTGTTCAGGTTCAGTGAAGCAATAGAAACAGAGGAGTGACCGAGGTTGAGGAAGAGGAGTCATCTGCAGGCTTTGGAGTTGGTACACAACCAAGCCCATCACCGTAGGAAATAACATTTGGGCTTTAAGCCCATTATCATCATAATAATCTAGAGTCTTGATCCAACTCACTTTTATTCATTTCGTATTACAACTTTGAAGTAAGAAACCGAAAAATTAATCATCAAACAGAATCTCTTCACTTGGCTGGCAATCGTGCCGATTAGGGTTTTGCAGGAGTTGAATTTCATCGCCCAAACCCAGAAGAAGTAGGCAGCTGGTCTCGCGCTCGACCCACCTACACAGGCTTGTGCCAAGCTCTTCAAATGCATTTGTCAGTGATAAAGTAAGATATCATCAAATTGGGCGACATTGCGATGGAGTAGAGAAGTACGGGTCATAAGGAACTGCATTGCACAGTGCAATTCATTCGCACAATCCATTCATTGTACATGTAACCGACTAACAGTTACAGGTCATTTGATATTCCTATATTCAGTGGCGGAGCCAGAAAATTGATCAAGGGGTGTCTTTATCATATCATTAAAAAATCACCTATACAGTAGAAAGTCAAGCTTAAATGAAAAAAAAGTCAACAACGCAATACTCTAAATTCATACAATTATATTAAAATAGTTTCACGTACATAGGTTACAATGTCAAACAAATAAGTTCAGTACATACAAGTCAAGACTTCCATTCCTCAAGTATTACAAATTAGAACTCAGAAGTACCTTGGAATTGATTTTGTGAAACAAACAAGTGAACTTCAATTGGTACTTCATCACTTTCGGTTTTGTTTAAACAAAAGGCAAGAAATTTCTCTATTGTAGAGCTACAAAAGAAATGAGCGAGTTTAAACAAAAGACAACAATTTATTACTATAAATAAAGACGAAAATGCCTTGCATAACAAAACTTACTCGGTTGAGATGGTAAGAAATTCTTCTTGCAACTGAATGATCACTGGTTCGAATTTGTATATACCCCTACTCGAAAATTTTTTATGGACTGCTATTTGCCGCCCGTATATTTACTATTTGCCGCCCATAAATTAAGCAAAAATTACATTTTTACCCCTTTTACATCTTGCCCTTTGGAAACCCTGTACCCACAAACCTACTCGCAGCCGCCGAAGCTTACCTCCTACACGTCGGAGAAGTTCGTCGCCGACCGCAAACCACCCTACCACAAAGATATCCTCCGTTAGCTAGCTAGCCTTCTCGTCGTCTCTGCCTATGATTGAATCGTCATCTTCAACCTTCGCCCGTCGTCCCATAATCGTCTTCATCGTTTCCTATCCTTGGCGTCGGCTCGACGCTCACCATCATCATCGTCTTCTTTGTTCCCTAACCCAAACCCAGCACAGACCGAAAACAATAACATGAAGGGGAGGGAGAAGGTAGAAGCTCCATTGGACCAGAAGCCGCGGTCCGACGCTAGAGTTCGGACGTCGTCTGATATCCGGCGTCGGACGGCGTCCGAAACCTTACATCGGACGGCATGCGAAATCCGACGTCGGACGGCGTCCTAAATTCAAGGTCGGACCGCGTCCGAAACCCAACGTCGGACGGCGTCCGAAATGCAGCGTCGGACCTCATCTGAAACGCGACCTCTCTAATTTTTTTTATATAATCTGACCTCTCTAATTAATAGCCGAACAAATTTCCTCCAAGATAAGGCAATAACCCACGTCTCCTTCCCTAATTAACAATCAGATATTTCCTTAATTAAAACATATTAAAATTCTAATATTTTCTAATATACATAAAATAAAGAAAAACAACGTCTAATTAGGTAATTCCAAAGTCTAATTCCATTTCCTAAATTAGTTAGATGAGGTAAAGGAAAGTAATTAATTAATAAAGAAAACAGAGTTCAATATCTTATAGTTATTTAAGTGGAATGATTATAGTAATTTAATTAGCTTAATATATGTTAGAATTTTCCATAAAAAATTAATCGTTAATAGTAATAGTAGTATTACATTATGAAAAATTATTGATTTAAGTAGCTTAATACATGTTGAAATTTACCATAAAAAATTAATTGTTAATAATAATAGTAGTATTATAGTATGCAAAATTATTGATTAAGTAGCTTAATACGTGTTAAAATCTGTTAACAACGTATAATAGTAATTTAAAATTTAGGTTGTGTCAAATAATTTAAATAGAGGTAGCTTCGTCGTCTTTGACTAATTAGGGTAGGATTTTACTGAAATGTAGTTTGACCACGATTGAATCAATGATGACAATAACAAGAAGAAGAATATACTCAAATAACCGAAACAACAATGACAGTAACAAAAGACGAAAGCATATCTTCCTCCTTCTACACCTTCTACTCATCCCAAACCCTAATTCCCACCAAATAACGAACTTCAACATCAATTCATCCAATCATACTACGACATTGTCTTAGAGGTAAAATTGTCTCTACCTCCACTAACAACATTTGTTTGCATAATTTATATATGCATGATAGGCTCAAGATATACCTTGTTATGATCCATAAAGCTCCCAAAAACCTCGATGTAAAATATGACACTATTCATCTTTTTTTTGCCCAGGACGTCCAATCGAGAAATGGTCGATTACATCACATTCCTATCCATATTTTAAGTGATCAACCAGGGTTTCAATAATTTTCTACGTCAATGGCTCTAGTAATTGCGAAAAATGCTTTAGCACTATTTACATAAGTAAAAGTAATTATCCTTTAATTTGTAAAACATTTACGATAATTTATTCATATAATTTTAAACATATAAATCATTATTCATAATTCATTATATAATTTTCAAAATTTATATGATTAGTTAACAGAATATAATTATATAAATAAAAAAAGATAGATAAATTAAACTTAAACATTTAGCGACAAGACTTTTAGTGACGGTCCTAAAAGTGACGCTAAAAGGTGGTCGAAAACAGTGGTCAGACTCAGACCATTGTTGGGAAAGTGAATTTTTTTAGTCGGGAATTTTCTTTTTTCCAAAAATGGTTTTGGCCACTTTTATATGCAAAAAAAAAATTCTACAAAAATTTCTTTTACCAAAAATTCTATTTTGATAGAATACAAATTTTCAAAGAAAAAATTTTAAAAGGGTAAATCTGAATTTTTACCAAATTTTATGGACGGCAAATAATAACCCTCAATTTTTTCTCCAAACTCAAGGGGTGCAAGTACCCCCCTCCTCTCCAAGTGGCTCCGCCACTACCTATATTCCTTCATTTTCGTCTTTCATTTTCTACTTTCTTCACTTGCAATATGATGCGCGCTCGATGAGGATGTAGAAACCAAGAATGGATATGGAGAGCAGGTCGATCCAAGTTGGTGTAGAAGTCCCAATCGTTGGCAGCGATTCCGTCAAATGGTTGGACCTCTCTCTTCCTCCATCTGTTTCACGCGATAGTGCAATCTCTTCCAGTTCTTCACCGCCGCCGCAGTTCCCTCCTCTCGCTGACGACTACGCCTCCTGCTGTGTTGTCGGAGATCCTCCTCTCTATTTCCTGGTAGGATCTCAATTCCATTTGCATTCAACCATAACACGCTTGTTTTTTGGTTTCTCAATTCCTATCTTGAAATGTTCCCTTGAAGGAGGTTACATAAGGCGCGGCCGAACGTTCTGGAGTTGCTTGAGCTCTCTTCGAAGTCAGAATTCCCCTTGAGTGGATTGCGTATCACTTTTCCTGATGCCCTTTCTCCTTTTGCTCATGTCTACCAAAACCAGGTTTGTTACCCACGCCTCTTGCGGCTGGTTCTCCTAATTGGGTTTCCATGCCCCATGTTATTAATTCTGCAATCTATACCTAACTGCATGAGGGCTCCACTCTTACCAACCCTTACACACTATATGTACTGAGTGTCATTGGAGTTGCCTACCTTGTCAAACTCAGAACTGCTCATGCTTACTCCTCCTGTCCTCCATGTCAATTTTCCCGAGGGATGAGTTGTTTGAGTTTGATCTGACTAGTTATTCACGCAACGCACCGATAACAAGTGTCGCTGTTGCTGCTGGATCTCTTGTAGTTGGGCGAAAAGATGGCTCCATTGCTTATTTTCGTCTTAGCTTACTGGACCATGTTGTTCCAAGTTTGTCCTTGTTCAACGATTATCAATGTTGGAGGCTCGAAGATGCCCCTGCCGTGCTCACATTGTGAATTTGATTGTTGTTTGTGTTGCAGGGTTTGTGAATGAGTTGCGCGATAATGCATTGATCAGTCGTTTATGGGGTTTCATGTCAAGGTACGGATTGGCTCTTAACTCCTTCCTGTCATGGAAATTTCTTCTTTGCACTTGCACGACAACAATATACACATTTCTTGTATCAAAACACGAACAAATGAGTTCTTCAGCCGTGTGCACAAAAGAACCAAGAAACAATGAACGGCAGTTGCTTCCATGACTAGTTTAATCATGCAAAATCAAAGGGGATGAATGGATGATCGCTTCACATCATAACTATTGGCCCTATATATAGTGTTGTGCTATATGTGATTAAAGAAATCATTATAGCATTTGTTCTTTTGTATTTATATATGATTTGAACCAATGCTGTCAAAGCCGAGCCGAGTCGGCCGAGCCGTCAAAACCGCCACCCGGCCATAAAACCGGCTCGACTCAACTATTTAGTCGGAGTGGTTATTTGGGGCGGCCGGCTAGCGACCGAAGCGGTTAACCGCTCGAACCATTCGAGCCGCTCGACCGGCTTTTACCATTTGGGCCGGTTGCTTTAATTAAAAAAATATATATATATATCAAATTAAAAAATGAAAATGAAAGGGGAGGCGGCTGAAAACGTAACCCTAATTGACTAATTCATTTCTTCCCCCTTCGTGCAGCAGCCAGACACGAAGAAGAGCCTCGCACTCCGCAGTCGCCGTTCACCGTCGCGGGTCTACGTCGCCGTTCGCCATCGCTCGACGCCGTCACCGTTCGCCATCGCTCGACGTCGTCGCCGTTTGCCATCGCTCGACGCCATCGGCCGTCGCCATCCCTCGACGCCACTCCCCTGTCGCCTGTCGCCATCGTCGTCGGCGGTGGCGGCAGCTCGTTCCCCATTCCTGTCGGCGAGCGCAACGGCCAGCCGGTGAGGTCTCCATTCTCCCTTGCAATCACCTTCTCCCACTGCTGCTGCCTCTCCCCTGCATCGACTCTCTCCCTCTCCCCTGCTGCCTCTCCCCTACATTGACTCTCTCCCTCTCCCCTGTTGCACAGATATTCTGCCTCTCCCCTGTTGCATCGAGCCATCGACTCTCCGCCTCTCCCTTGCTGCCCTCCCCTTCAATTTCTCGACGCATACACCCACCCAGGAGAACTTCTTGTGGTAAATTACTAAATTAATACATTTACATGTGCTTTGACCTTAATTTGATAATTTCATATAAGCATAAAAGAAGTTTGTAATGGTTTGTTTGTGTTGCTGCCGTGACCCGTGAGGTTTCCTATTCCATTTAGCAATTTTTGTTTACTTGTTTACTTGATTGAGCTATTTAGAAGTTTCAGAATGGTAGTGTTAGATTTTCCATTGTAAATTTGTTGATTTGATCTTTATTTTGGAACAATGTGGTGGTTTGGAATTGAATTTTAGATCTTTCAGTACTGATGTTCTAGAATGGTTTAAGAGAGTAATTTACTTGTGGTTTACCATGATTAAGAAGTGTCTACTATTTATACATATGATTGTTTATTAGGTACCGGTTCTCAAACGGTTTTTAAACGGTCTAATGCCGGCTGGACCACTAATGACCGAGCCGTTCACGTTACCGGGTCATACTCCGGCTCGGCTTTGACATCATTGATTTGAACACTTATACATAGGTATTAAATGCAGGGGTAGGGCTGTAGGATCAGTTCTGGATTTGGTAATTAGGGAATTGCATGAACTGCCCTTTTTATTTTCGCTTCATGCTGATGGGATGATCCAAATATGGGATCTGTTAAGCCATAACAAGGTTTTCGGTCAAGGCCTAAATTTTCCAACTTCCGAAGGTAAGACCTTTGACATTCATTCAAATTTTCTTGTGCCTTACCTTTCTATTATTGTATCAACTAGTTGTTCATTTAACAATATTATTGGAGGCTTTCCATTCAGAACATATTTGTTGGTGATATGGTTGTTTTGGTATGGGTTGTTGGTGATATGGTTAGATGGGAGGGCACATTGTGTCTATGACTTACCTAGGGTTCATTAGGCAAAGAGAGGAAACATAAGGTTCCTTTGAGATAGTTGCCAGGAATTCTGAAAAATGAGAAATGTAGGTTACAGAGGCTACTTCTCTCATCTAGGAGCAGGACTTTACTCGAGATCCTCCAAAAAGGTTTTGAGAGCCTACTCAAACCAAGTCAAAAGACTTAAACACACTCTTATCATTTTCTCGATCTGTCTCTTCCCTGCAGAATTAGTGTCCTTGAATAGGAGTTACATACTTTGGAAGTTGGTAAATCTAATTCTTGAACTATTATAACTAAATACTACCTTTACTTGCATCGCGAAGCTATTAGAAACCCCAAATAAGGATTTAAAAGTAAAACAATTACTAGTACAGAGGAGCTCTGTCCACATTATTCTCACGTCTTTATTCACTGTGATGTTTTACTCCTGTCCACATTATTCTCGCGTCTTTATTCACTGTAATGTTTTGACTGTACTTGTCTCTACAAAGTACTTCTTGACAAGTGGAGAAAGAACCTACAAACCAATACTTTATGAGATTCCATAGAACTCACATTACCTGAAGGGTTCTAATGTATTCCAGATGGACCCTCTCCTTACGAATATGATACAGTTTTTCTTTTCTTTTCCCGGTGGCCATTTTGATAACTTGGTATTTGCCATTTTTTCATGTCATTTTGTCTTCCCCATACTATACCTTCAGTTACTTCTGCTGTACGGTTGTGGTTTGGTGGGGCTAACAATCTGTCAGGCATAATTTCACTGGCCATCTTGCTGAAACAGACTCCGATACTTGTCTTCCTCATTTCCCACAATTGTACTGTTGTTTTCTTAAGTTCTAAGGTGGTTTGTTTTAAGCTTAATTTGATGTTCGCCTTTTATCTTATGTTTCATGGATCTATATTCAGGAGGCTCGCTTAATAGCTGAGATTCTGTCGCCCGTGAATTCCCTGCTGCTTGTTGCTTGTGTTGTTTGTATACTTTATCTTAATCCTATTTTTCGATCTACCTATGAAGGAAAGTAGAAAGGAGATGATTTGTGGCTACAACCTGCATTATGCTCCTTTAAGCGGTTGAATGCTTTTTTAATCTTCGTTCCCAAGTATCCCTCTCGAGGAGGTCAGTGATTCATTTCTTTTTGGTTATTAAAGTCAAAGTAATTTGATAATTTAACTGATATTTTTCTTTAATTGTACTGCTTTCATTCTAATTGAGGAGAATTTTGTCTATTAGATTAAATGTATTGTTGTTTTGTCAGGGACACTGCCTTGATGTAAAGCTTTCATCAGACAAGATTTGGATTTTAAAAGACAGTAGTTTGGCATTTCATTATATATTTCCAACTGATATTGTGTAAGTTGAATTGTTTAATTTGAGGTGAAGTTTTCATTGTGCGGTCCCTACTACTTATGGAATACATTGATTTAATTTTATATAATTTTTACCTCGTTTCTTTTGCCGTTGATATAACTGTTGCTCAAGAATGCTCTATTGAATGTAACCCTATGTTTACTGCTCTAGGAAAGAAGCTCACTGCTACACTTTGCAAGAAGATTTTGTTGCTGAGAAGCTATTCCAAAGTGCAGGACTTTCATCAGATTATCTTCTTTGGATCATTCGTTCTATTTTCTCTTCCGCAAAGGTATACTTATGAACACGTTTTGCATGTGAAATTCTATGTCTTGGAATTGAATGTTTTACATTGTCTCCTTCAGCAACAAAATTGATGGATGTCCCATTCTAATAGGGAGCCATAAGGCTTTAAACATCATGGTTCCATGCACAGTTATGGTTTATGAGGATAGTTAGTTGTTTTCTGTTCCCATGCTAATTGTTTCACTGATGGTCAAATTTTGTCAATAGAGATGAAGATCCGTTGCAACTTGACATTTACTCAAGTGGCCAAGTTAGGTTTGCCTTAACTTTTGTGGTATAATTCTAGTAGTATGCGATTTGAGGGAATGTGTTCTTGGATTGAGGTTATGATGTGTGGCCAGAAAATGTGCAACTGTATATCTGTTAATGCTCAACTTCGTGTGCTATGGTGCTTGGATATTATATTCCTGGGGATTGATTGTTTGCAATGTCATTTTACTAAACTCGATAGGAACAGATTGTGCCCTTTATCTTCTCTATATTCTTACGAAGGCTGCTGCTCCTTGGGGTTCATCACAGTAATGTTCTGCGTTCAACTCTGCTAGACTACAACAAACAGTGGACTGAGACAAAATTCCTGTCATTGACTGCTGATGGATTGAAAAAGGAAATTAGTTCACTCATTGATGATGAGTTAATCCCCCCCCCCCCCACACCCACCCCACACCCCAAAAAAATAAAAAAAAAACGTTTCTGGCGTTGTCTGCTGCTAAATCTTGAATTCTCTCTGTCTGGTGTAATGAGAGTGTGGTCATATCATCATATACTGGGAGACTCCATATGTTATAAGCAGGCTAATATGTGCTTCCTTTTTACTCCAGGGTCTTGGCCGAACTCCAATCTCGATATGTAACTTTCTGAAGAAATTCGTTGGGTGTTATTTCAGTCATTGGTGCAAGAATAATTCACCATGTGGTTTGCTAGTTCAGCCTCTAACGGGAGGCATTGGCCTAATCAGGAAGGACTCTGTGTCTTTGTTTCGCAATATGGCAGACATTGAGCTGATGACTGAGGGTATGTTCCATTTCATCTATTTCGGCTTCACAAATATGGATAATCATTTTCCTTTTCATTCATTAGACTTATGTCAAATTTCTGGTTTATTGCTTTTCTAGGTTTTCCTCAATAATTTATTGATCTCTTGAAGCGTAGGTTGGAATTATGTGATGATGTTGAGCATGAGATTATTATGGAAGTACTCAAATGTGTTACTATTTTGAGCGAGCCACTTGAGAAAATTTCCTCCACTGTTCTCTATGAGGGACTTGTTAGCAAGTCGAATATATCGTTGGAGGATGTCGTTTCTCAGTCATTGAAGATCTTGCAAACTATGTGTAGACCGTCATCGTTAGTTCCCTTTCCATATCTTAGTGCTGATTTTGATTTGGGAAAGGAAGCTGATCACCGGAATCTGAGGAGCTTCTCTGTCAACATGATTTTATCCCTTCATGCATTGTCTAGAAAATCCACCTCTTGGGGAAAAGTGTTAAATGCCATCCAGAGCTACATCCAATTTCTTGTACCACAGAAAATGCTAAAATGTTTGCAAGCAGAAGACTCCTTGAAAGTTGGCACGACTGCCGTGGTGCAGGCTACTTCTCAAGTTGCACAGAGCTACATCCAATTTCTTGTACCATAGGAGATGCTAAAAAGTTTAGACACAAAAGAATCATTGAAAGTTGGCACAACTGCAATGGTGCAGACTACTTCTCAAGTTACACAGGCAATGTTTGAGTCTGCTTTGAATATTCTTCTGTTTGTGAACTATCTTCTCAACATTAGTGGAACGGTCAGGGTTCTTCTTGTTAGCTTATTTGTTCCCTATACACACGTGTCTTCATTTGAGATTCTTCTGTTAATATATTAATGGACTATTGTTGCATCTAGCAATTTTTGTTTAGCCGCATTGCATTGGTATTCTGCATCTCCTAACTGAAACAATTTACATCATTTATTTGTTCATCCATGTATCATCACTCTTCTGGTGAAACCACCTCAGCTTTTGCTGTATGCAAGCTTCAGTTTCGTGGTCTGGATCATTTGATCCCCATGAACGTGTTAGTTCTATAACAGCCTGTGTAGCAATCTGTTTATTCTGGATGTACTAGCTAGTAATTTTCTTACTTTACCTCTGAAAGAGAATGCTGCTGTGAATGCCTATGATAGGAAAAGGAAAGGAAAGAGATATTATGGAACTAGCTACAGTTTTCTGTATCATGAATGTGATTCATCATCCATGTGTACTCTGGTTCCTTCCAAGGTCACTACTGCTTAACATACCTGATGTTGCTTTCGTCTTTGGTGAAGTTGAAGTCTTTGCTTGTTCAGTGTTAGACTAGTAGAGTATCCACTGTATAGCTGGAAAAATAATTCGATGGCCAATAGGATTTAGTATGAACAAGTGAGTGATGAATTCCCACTAGCTTCTTCCATGCAAAATAATTCGCCTTTCACGTCTTCCACTGTTTCATTTCCCACACCCTAACCTTCTTTTTCACTTTTCATTGATGCTTGAATACAGATTAATATGGTGCATGCTGATGTATCCAGGATACAACTTGAACTCGTTCCATTGGTTCAGAACATTGTTTCTGAGTGGTTGATAATTTACTTCCTGGTCACCATGCCATTACAGTTTCATGGGATTGTGGACTTTAGTTGTCAACTCTCTCCGTTGCGTATGGGTAAGTCGATTATGGCAAGTTCTAGTAAGATTGTATGAGGGTGGGCCTACATTGCAGAGAATCTATTGACCAATGCTTTTTGTGCTGCTTGGCACTTCCATGGCTGTGATGGCTGGTTGAAAGTTGTGTATAGTATGTTTGGCAAATTGGCTATTTCTAGCAGTTGGTTTTCGATGATGGCTTGTCTTCTAGGTAACAATTGAAGGCTCCTAATCGTATTGTTTGGCTGAACATGAGGCTTTCTGTATTTTCTAGCCTTATAATAATGTAAAAGAGGATTTATTATCGATCAATATCTATAACACCAGAAGATTGATATTTCTACTACCATGGCTGGGCACTTAAGAATAGACACTGTTAATAAAAGAGAACCTGCTTGTGCATTTTCTCTGCCCCTGGCCTCTTTGAAATAATTCTGTTTTTTTTTTTTTAACTGAGCTTGATTGTTTCAACGATCAGTAAGAGTTTCTTTTGCACAATCAATACTTGTAAAAGATTTTGTACTTTGCTTGTATATGACTGGAGGTGTTCTTGGTGGTTTAGCATATTGTCTTTGCTTTTATATCAGCTACATTTTATGTCATGAAAGTGTCTTCTGGCTCTAACTGAACATTCCTCCCTTTTATATTATCATCAATCAGATTGCAAGAATGGTAGAAAACCATGGAGCGACAAACTTGGCGAACTTAATTTTACTTTGGCGTTTATTCTTCTGATGTCAAATCCAACCTCTTCTCAAGACCTAAACCATCATTCCTTACATTGTTTTCCAAATCCTGGAGATATTATTAGTGTCGTACGACACTTTACTAGCTGGATAATTTGGGGCAATACTAGGGTCAAATCAAATTCGTCATTGATGCACTATGCAGAGCTTGAACTGTCCCTTCTCAGACATGGGCAGTACTATGCTGTTGAGGTTCTTATCTGTTTTGCTTCCCAGTTTTACTCGTATGAAGCAGCACATCCGAGCAGTATCCTATATGACTTTCTTTCTCTATTTGCTATTTCGGTGTCTGTTGAGTGTTGTCGAGGCCAATATACAAAGGGAGAAGATATTTAGAAGTCTCCAAGAAAATGATGAGGACTGGTGTGTACTTCAACACCTTTTGGGATGTTGTCTCCTTGCTCAGGCACGATTTCATTTCACTGGAATGCTGAAAGAAAGGAAATTTTCTGAAGCTATTCGTAGTTTCTTCAGGTACTAGAATTTTCATGTTATATTTTTGGTTAATTTAACTTTGTGCCCCTTCATTATCTAGACTTTTCTTATCAAAATATGATAATGCTCTTGTCGCATGATTCTTCAATTTCCTTTGATGGGGCAGTCCCTTTTCCCTTTCTGATTATGTTCACTTTCTTCCGTTCTGTGACAAAAGTAACCTATATCTAATGACTTCTTATGGTAGATCTGTAACATGATGCAGGAAACTTTATTTTCCTTCATTATCTAGACTACCCGATACCTGTAATTTTTCATTCTTGTACCCGGTACCACATCCCAAAAATAATTCTTAAAGCCTACACCATATCCTCCACAATTGATGTATTGCTATGAATCTCTCGCGGTTCTCTATATTGTCTTTTTTGTTGATGTGGGTGAGTTCATATCTAAGATATAAAGATTCCGTGTTTCTTCACTTGATGAAGTCCGAGATTAGTGAGCTTGGGGGCGAAATACAAACGAAGAAAACGGCCGAATCTTTATTTCTCCTATCTTTCGGTCATATTCATTTTCTGAGTTGAATGTTTTTTCACATTTAAGATATGTTTATATTTTTTTTTTCTGCGATTTTGAAATCAGAGCTTCTTCGGGAGAACGAGCCTCAAAACATTTTCAAGCTTTTTCTCAGGACACAGGATTACCACCTCTTTGCCTAGGTAAGCTTGTCACAGCATTTGTTCTCAGGTTCGGAAAGATATATGGCTCTTGGAGGATTTGACTTTGCTTCCTTCCTTTCTCTTTTTTTCCTTGTTAGACGATTCTGTATCATCTGCTGCATGGAAGCTGCATTACTTCCAATGGGGCATGCAAATATTTGAGAAATGAAGTTTTAATGAGGGCACTTGCCAGTTTGCTTTCTCTGCACTTGAGCAAGTAGATGAAGCTACGAGTTCAAGAGATGGATCTCATATGGAGCCAACGCTAGATGAGTCAGCAGTTACTGTCAAGGGACGATTGTGGGAAAAAGTTTTCGAGTTTAATTTAGACCTGAATCGCTTTCATGAGGCATATTGTGCAATAACTTCGATTCCGGACGAAGAGATCAAACACATCTGTCTCCGACGTTTCATTAATACGCACGGAGCAGTGAAGGTTTGAGGCCAACTTTAAAGTTTATTGTGGGCATATCTATTCTACTTTGCAAGATAATGCATGTTCTAAGTACATACACTTAACACAAACGAACCCCTTTCCATGCCTGTATGAAGTTTGTCTTCACAAAATTTAATATTATCTTGTTTCTTGAATGCATGACTGTTACAAGGTATGTCAATGGTATGCATTTGAATTTTACTGCGGAACCTTGTGTTACATTGTTTACTGCCCAACTATTTGGAAATCAACCGTTGAGCTAGCATCTAGTCAGTAGCTGTTATACACCAAGTGAGATAAGATTTGGTCAGTGGACGCTGCACCAACTGACTTCATTTCTTATGATGCTAGGTTCTCTGTGATGGGAAATTACCGTTTACAGTCTCTTCTGAGAAGATAGAGCGTGAGCTTGCTTGGAAAGTTTGCCGTGGAAAGAGAAAACAATCTAACTATTTTTTACAGACCCAATTTCATTGTCGGAATATTTTTCCTTGACTATGCAGGCAGAGCGCAGAAATATCTTGGCAGAGCCCAACGTTTACAAGCTGCTTTATGCATTTGAAACACATCGGCAGAATTGGCGGAGGGCCGCAAGTTACATATATGAATACTCAATCCGGCTATTAATGCATTGCATCTTGTTCATCCAGCATATGCTTGGATTGATCCTCCGTCCTAGAAAAACCGGCATCCTTCTCATAAAAGGGAAAAAAAGAAAGCGATGGAACACTATACATATTTCTCAACTGAACGTGCTCAATCATATCTCCTTTACCGACTATTTGCTGTGAATACATTCTTGGAGCTCTCCTGGGAGCAATTATTGTCAGTGATATATTGTAACTTTTGGCATTCTCTTTGTTTTTATCCTTTCAGTTCTACAAAAGGTTTATGAGGTTAGAGTTGGTAATTCATGTTTTCCTTTTGGCGCAATTGCTAATGATCATGTCCAGTCTCCGAATTTGCAAGGCTATATTGACCTTGATAAACTTCAGGACGAGTTTGTGCTGACTTCAGCTGAGTATGCACTGTCACTGGCAAATATTGAATGGTGTTCTACAATTGGTAAGGCTTATTTTCAATTGTATTTAAAACTTTGTGATCGTGTTTGTGTTGGTGAAGTGCTTTGAATTGCTATCACAGGTTCAGTCAAGCGCTTAATTAGAAAATTTGTGATTGGACTAATATTGGTGATGATGACAGGAACAATGTGAAGAAATCCCTTTGCAATCTACATTAACTAGCCATGTCTCTCTTCACTTTCCTTCCTGCTTCATTTTTTGTCTTGAAGTTTATGTTCTTTTATTCATTTCGTAAGTTATCCGTCAGGAAGAGAAGTCCCATCAGTTTTGATTGGCGTCTTGGTCCAGGAAAACTTATATGATACAACATTCACTGTTATATTGAAATTCAGGAAGGGATCAGCGTTGAGGAGTACATCTCACAAGGCACTGACTCGTAATGCCTAGTATCCTGGAAATACACGAGTTCTTTAACATGCTTCTCAACTTACCTTTGCCTTGCTGCAGGGAACTAGAAAGAATATTCTCGGCCATGTCATTGAAATGCTGTCCAAGTAAAATAAGCTCCCATACTGAGTAAGATTGCTCCTTAAACTAGTGCTAGTGTGGATAAAGTTTGGAATACCATTTAAATTTATCATGGCCTATTTAAGGAGGAACCAACTTCTTTTGGCATCCTCGGGGTAAGAAAAGATTCACTCTTCACCTGGAATGAGGTCTATGTGTCAGCCACCTAAGGGCAATTCACAATTGGAAACTCTCGAGTTTTATATAGTGTGTATCAGTGTGCGACTACTAGTCACCTATTAATTCGGTTTTTAAATGAACTTGTTTTATGAACTGTTCTTTATTTTTCCCCCCTCGTAGAGGCAGTATAAGGTCTTTCATGCTGGATTGCCAGTAACTGTTGCTGAGACTTTACTTCGAACAGATCCTCATATTGAATTGCATCTTTGGCTTGTACAAATGTTCAAGGTACTCAGCCTTCTTCTATGTCCCTGAATTGTAGTGATATCTAACTTGTTCGTTTTGGATAATCTCTTGAAGACGCCTTTCTCTTTTAGTGTCAACTTTAATGTTTCTCTTGCACACAAATATCATCATACTCTAAAGAAGCATAAACTTTAGTCCCTAAAGTTGTAGGGCATTTGTTGCTTGTTACGGATTGTGACCGTGGTTCAGTTCTGGAATTATGCGTTACCGGAAACTGCTTATGTATAGGTTCTTAGATTTTCACACCCATTAAAATGGAAGCATCAGATTACTCGTTGAATTCTGCACTTATCATCGTCTTCATTATTAAAATATGAGAATTATTCTCGAGCTAGGTATGCTATGTGACAATTTTGTTGACGGCACAAGAAACTCATTTTAATCTATCAATAGTTGTGACGGTGTGATGGATTTAACAGGATGGTCCCTACCACAGGACCTTTGGGATGACAGGGCAAGAATCAAATGCTGCTGCCTTGCTCCAACTATATGTAGAGTGTGGTCGGCACAAGGAAGCAGTAAATCTTTTGGTCGAGTATATTGACTCATTTGCAGCAGTGGTAATTCAGACTATTACTCTTGTGTTTGGTTCAGATTTTAGGTCTGTGGTCTATCTTTTGATGTCTCGCTGAAAATGATCCTTGTCCCTTCCCTGTTCCTGACTAGATGGGTTGGGTAGAAATGGTATATATTTGTTCAGGTACCATGTTCTGGATGCTGAAAGAAAATGAATATGTTGTTGTTAGATGCCCCTCGAAAATTATGTATGCCATTGCTGGTAGTACCCCTCTCTATCAAAGAACACATTGCCATCTTGTGAACTAAAATATCGAGTTCATCATCTGGTGCAGCTTAATATACTGCTTGCAATATTGATGTGTTTTAGAATTAGGCTCGCTCCTAACTTCTCGGGTACCTGTAATTGAGCCGCCAGTGTTATGACAGATAATGATTTACTTTTCACTTTGTGTGCAGCGACCATCGGACATTATCAAGCGTAAGAAGCCATTTGCCTCATGGTTTCCATATTCGACTGTAGAGCTGTCACGGTGCCAACTGGAGGATTCAATTGCATCTGGCTGCATGGTTGATCAATCTGAGAAGCTCAAAAGTATGTTGGATGGATCTTTACATAATCATATGAGGCTTGTAAGCGTGCACTACCTCCCACTGTTTGCTTTCGATTGTGTTTCTTCTCTGTTGTCGGAAAATGCCATATGAACTAAAGATGGTTGTGTATCTGTTTGGCAGTTGAAGGTGGATACTGATGATGCATTCGCCGCTGCTGCTCACTAAGACAGCAGAAGCAAATTGCACATAGTTATATAGCCTCTGTTGAACTTGCTGCTCGGTGTGCAAGGGAAGCCGTGTTTCAAATTTGACATCAACTTGGCTGTTGAAGTCGCAGCTTTTACTTTTTGGTACAGAAGAATCTAGGGGATTTACTCATCATTAATCACTGTAGAGACATGCTCGGCCCGACTTCCTCTATCACAAAAAGGAATCGTTTAATATGTTTAGGACTTGAAAAGTGTTCAATAATTCAGTTGAACACATGGTCAACTTTGTCGTCTATCATTCGAGGATCGAAACCAAAGCTGATGATTGCTTCCAAAAATTTTGGGCCGTTTTGGAGAGAAAAGAGGGAAAGTGATGATACTTAAAAAGAAGTGTTTATCACACCATTTTCTTAGTAAAACTGGTCATTATTCGATGCATGATCAGTAGTTTAGCCACGATTTTGCTTCTTATTTATGCATCTATAGCCTTTAGTTTTATCTGTATTTTTATGCCTTTTGTGGTAGTTTTACATGGTGTTCAAACCCAGCCACAAGATAAGGCAAATTCAGGATCAAACCACAATATATTACTACCAAACAAGGGGGCTAGGACACCTTTGTTGTTTAGGTTCGTGGAACCTAGTGTGCTTATAGGATTTGAGATTATGATTTGATTATACTTCTATTGAGTTTTGGATTCCTTATCTTGGCTTTCCAGCTTGCATATTAATATCGCTTAAATTATAGTATTTTATTTCGGGTTAATTGCAAGGTTAGTCACTGAGATTACTAAAAACGTTCATGTTTGGTCACTACAAATATTTAATTTTGTTCATGGTCACTAAGATTAGTTAAACACTTCAAGTTTGGTCACTTTCCGTCCATCTCCGTTAACTTTGTCTGATGTGGCAGTCAACCTCTCATAGTTGACCGTCAAATGTGTGATGTGGCAATTTAAAAATAATAAAAAATAAAAATTTATTCTATTAAAATTTCCACCTCAGTTTTATAACAATAAAAATAATATATTTAATTTCTCATAATCCCCTAAACAGCCAAACCCTAGCCACCTCAATTGCTCTCCATCCCTTCCTCCTCCGCCAAGGCCATGAGACTATCCATCCACAGCTGGCGGCGCATCATCAATTCCACCACCAGCAATTGAATTACACACATCAACAGCCTTAGTGCTACTTGCGCTCACCATGGGCGACGCCGATGACCCAATATCCAATTGCTGCTTCGTCCGCCATGGGAGCTCGATACCCTGCAGATCTAGCCGCGCTCGAACAGTGACTTGCTCAGCCCGACTATGGCCATCGCGTACCCAGCCCAACCCAGATTGTCGTAGCCACAAACCCCACCGTTTCAAATCCTCTAACCTCCAAAGATTAACCAACACTTAGGATGGAAGGAGGCCGACGGAAGGTTGAGATAAGTGCCCCTTGTCCACTCGAGGGCATCGGCGGTTGTCCCTTCTGCATAAGAAGCGGCAGGACTATACGGGGCACGAGCTTTCCAATGGGGATTGGTCGTAGATGAGATAGTGTAGAATTACAGGATGGATCAATTGTATTTGTGGGTGAATGCTTTTTTCTTTTACAGATCAATTGTGGGGGATTGATTGCTTAGGGGACCGATTGCTTTTTGATCGTGCTCCCAAACTTTGTTTAGGGATTGTTGGGCATGTGACTCGGATCTAGCCGCGCCAGAGGAACGCACCGATACTACCCCAAATCTGGCCAAACCCGTCAGGACGCGGCGACGACCGAAGACCTCCAGCGTGGTCCAGCGCGAAGGCCTCGAGCGCGACACTGCGAAGGCGAACCGGCGCGAAGACCTCGAGCGCGGCACAGGCTACGCGCACGTGGAAGGATCAACGCGTGGGCCAGACCAAAGAGCCGCAAAAAGCGTCGTCTCGCTTCCCGAGGGGTAGTCACATCAGGGTCCTAAGCACAGTAGTGGGTAAGCCTCTGACATGTCCTAGGTATAGGCATGGCCTAAACCCCTGACATGTCAGTGGTCATGTCATTGTACCATCATGTAATTCAACCACTCACCCACCACCATGTAGCCTATAAATATGGCATTTACTCCGGTGGGTGAGGGGATCGCATTTTCCACACTCTATCTCTACAATCTTCAACTTCTCTCTCTAAGACTCTGTTCTCCCAACCTTGTTCTTCCCTGCCTTCATTCTTCATTCTGTAATCGATTCCCACCTCTTACTCTCCTTGACCCACATCCTCCCTCGAATCTCACTCCTACACTCAGTTAGGTTCAAACAATTGGCGCCCACCGTGGGGCCAAGTAGAGAAGCAAAGAAAGAAAACCAATGGCTGAACACAATCCCAACTTACCTGATGAAGCAACACCCATCAAAGCAATGACCAACCCAAGAACGTTCGCGGAAACCAGCAACCTCAACGCGGTGGGAGGAGTTACGGTGCTAATTGTACAAGAGTTAGCACCGTCCTAACCAAGAGAAAAACTACTACTAGTTTGAATTAGTAGTGATTTAGCTTAGATGTTGTATTGATTTTATAATAATCCGTAGTGATTTCGTTGTTTTTAGTAGCATTTTTTGCTAGTTATCACGGTGCTAACCCCTATGAGGGTTAGCACCTAATCCCATCCCCAACGCGGTGCTTATCGAAGAAGAAGAGCCCGAGCTGACCACCAAGGAAATGAGGGATCTAATGGTGAAGCAGAATAACGTCATAGCCGATATGCAAAAGCAAATGAGCCAAGTCATAGCGCTCATGATGAGCAAAGAGGCCGCGACAACAGAGGAGGCGACACCAAGCGCGCCACCGCCCGCACCACCACCTGGGGAAGCGATAGGAATCGCCCCGCCACCACAACCTGCACCGACCGAATTCCCTGCGTGTGAAGTGCAACAAGCCGAGCCGCCGGGTAGGGCAGACCTCAGTTTTCTGGAGCAACACTTGTCTCCGCAATACCGACCCAACCCACCCAAGAGGGCGCTCCACCAACCGCTAAGCGCGGAAATCATGGCGGAACACCTGAGCGGAATGCCACCCGCCCTCCCAACATATAACGGGACGACTGATCCCGAAGACCATGTGAGCACCTTCTGCCTGCGGATGCAACTCCAAACCAACTCCAACGCGGCGCTATGCTGAACCTTCCCATCAACATTCTCCGGAATATGCCTCGATTGGTATAACAGGCTCCCGAACGGGATCATCCGCTCATTTGAGGAGTTCATACTCCTATTCACGACGAAGTTCGCGTCCCAAAAGAGAAGGCCTCTCCACCTGAAGGCGCTGATAGACATCAGGCAAAAGGATGGGGAAAGCCTGCGAGCATTTTACGCCAGATGGTCCAGGGTGGCGATGGCAGTGCGCGACCTTACCCCCGAAACCGCCGCACATCACCTTATGGAAGCCACCACCAATATGGAGCTCAAGCGGGCGCTAGCAAAAAGGCCTGTAACACTATCGACAGAGTTGGAGATGAAGATCGAGAAAGCCATTACGCTGGAAGAAACCCTTGGAGCGGGATCAGTCAGGCGCTTCGAACCAGCCAAATTGCCGCGAGAGGAACAGGGACGTCGGCAGCTCCCGCTGCCACGAGACCAATTGGCGCAACTGCATAGCGGGCCAAAGCGCCACCCCCCTCCCCCACCAGAGCAAGCTCAGCGAGGACGATCGCCGGACAGGCGCGCATCCCACGCCTTCACACCGCTTAATGACTCCGTAAAGAAAGTGTTCCACGTTCTCCGCGAGAAGGGCTACAAGCTCAATTGGCCCACGCCGTTGAAGTCCTTACCCCACATGCGCGACCCAAAGAAGCATTGTGACTTCCACAGGCAACGGGGCACTGGACAGAAGATTGCCGAGATCTACGTTAAGAAATAGAAGGCCTCATACGACAAGGATTGCTGGCCGAGTTCACACACAAAAAAGAGGAACAAGTGGGGGTTCCCCAAAACCCGCCACCACCCCCACAAGCCGACTACAACGAAGCCACTGACGCATATGTAGTGCGAAAGAAAATAGGGGTGGTGACAGTAGAAGGAGATCGCCCGAAGAAAAAAACCAAGCGCGAACGCGCGATCGAATTCGCAGCGGCGGATGTACAAACGGGGGGCCAGCTAAGTGACTCACTCCTACTGTCACCCTAGAAAATGGCCAAGTATAACCACTTCCTAAAGCGTAGTATAGCGGGTCGGGTTTTAATGTCAACCCGGGTCCTAGATATGATGACTACTCGGTGAATTCTTGTTATTTAGCGGTGAACTTTTAGTGAAACTCAAGCAAACAAAACACAAAGCAAGTAAACGGTTTGTTGTCAAGTCAAGAGAGGTCACCTGGATATGGTTTCCCCCTAGACTGCAGTTAAGTCGGATTGCAATTTGCCAAGTTCAGTTTTCATGAAAGTTATACTGCGGAAGGTTCTCAATTAGCTTGAAGTCTCGACTAAAGGTCTCCAGACCCTCTCAATCTGAGTCTCTAGCGGGCGACTAACCTCCACCGGAGTAAACAGATTGAGGCCCTAATGAACCAAACCTCCACTACCGAATCGACTTCGGTACAGAATAGCGAATTGGCTCCTCGACTAAAGTCACCAATTCGCTACCTTCGATTAAGGGTACTCTATCAACCTAGGCAGATATTCTCATTCCAGGTCAAAGCAGAAACAACAGGAATTTGATCAGGATTCAAGTCATTCAATCAATCAAACCTCAATCGAATATAATCAATTCACAAACTCTGTACTTGGGTTCATACAATCAGACCTAGCATACAAATCTAGGGTTCTCCATACCCAGATGAATGGGGAAACTACTCCATAGAGAAAGAAGCAAAAGCAGATTCAGACACGGAAATCATACTGTGAAGTTGGATTCCTGCTTCTGGACGTTTAATCGCACTTCTCCAAGCTCAAGACGGGCTCCAATGGTGTTGAAGATCGATCTATGGCGCTTGAGAACTCTGGTTCGACGCTTTCTCTCTCTAGGTATCGGTTTCTCTCTCAAAAACTCGGAAC